GTTCTGAGACCTGCTCTTCCTGTGTTGTTTCATGTGTTTTGTTTTTGTTTTTAACTGTCGCCTTATTTTCCCTAGTAAATTTCATATTTAATAATTTCTTTGACCTTGTGCTGGGGGGGCTCCGAGTTGGAAAAACATGACTGTTTTAGCGAATTTGTCCTCTGTAACAAGATCCCCAGAAATATACTGAGATCCTTAAGTAGACTAAATTAAAGGTTTTTACCATGTAACTGTTTTCTAAGTCACTGGTAAGACATCTTTCTTTACCTCATGCTTAAAAGTACGAAGCTTTCATAATAAAAGCTGCCAGCAGCAAGACATTTCGCGGACAGAAAAAATCAGATGTATAAAACCATGCATACATGTGTAACCATATAATCTACCTCCATTCATCCTAATTTCCATGAAACTGACTGCTGCCTGATGTTTTCCCCCCACCCTCACACACATACCCACCCCTACGTCTACCTACATATGTTAATCAGTGTAAATACCCGCAAGGCATATTATACATAAACCCCCTAATCTTGAATTTAAAGTTTTCAAATAGTCATTTCAGTTAATATGCAACTTAAATACACTGAGAAGGATTTTTATTTATCTTTTTTATTCTTGATTTGTTTTTGTTTTTTTAAGATGCATTTATTTGTCAAAATAATTGTTAGTGGAGCTGAAGTTAAAGTTTCACTGCTGATGCTTTTGCAGTTACAGATTTCTTTGACTGGGACTTCTATTCTATCAGATTCTATTGTATTCTATTTTAAGGTACCTAATCCATGTGTTATTTAAATGAAACTAAATTTTCGATAACATTATAGTACTTTAGAGCTGCACTGTATGCAATAACATACATATAAGAAGATGCTTTCCTTGCTGGCTGGCAAGAAGTGCAGAACAAGATCAGCCAATGGTGAATGTGCTGCTTACGGGCCAGGAGGAGTCAAACCTTTAACACTTTATCACCAGGAGGTTATGTTTTTAGGCGAGTTTCTGTGTGCGGGATACCTTGAAAAGTTATGAACGGATGGCGAGGAATCTTTTACTAAAGGTGCACCTCATGCCAAGGAACAACCCGTTAAATGTTGGTGATGATCCACATCATAATCCGGATGCAGGAATTTTGAATGACATTATATGGTGGAACAAGCAGTTCCCCCCTAAACCTGAGCGGCAGTAGTGACTATTGTCAGCTTCAGTGTTTGACTCAAGAAAGTCCAGAATTATTATACTGAAGACAAAAACACAGGAAAGGTGAGCCATGCTTTGCTTGAAGTCTTGATCTGCTGACATAATAAGAAAGCAGAGTGAATGAAGAAGGTGAGAGCAGAACATTTGGTAATGATCCAGATCATGTATGAGTTTTAGGTTTAGGCATAAGTCACAATATGGGGCAACATTTGCTGCTTGGCAATGTCTGCACTCTTCAAGTGCTTTTCTAGTGTATAGTAGATATGCAGTTTTTTTGTACATATTGAAAATATAATTAGCAGGATGACCTGTGCATGAAATATTGCTAAAATAATTTTCTATTCAAATTAAGAACATTACCAATGTTGACTTTATACAGGAGTACAAAACTAATAGTGAGTACTGTAAAGTATAATACTTCAGTATCTCAGTAAATAACAATCAAATTGTCCTTTCAGAAAAAAACAACAACAATGTTTTATTTATTTCATCTTAGATATAGAGATTCTGTTTAGTTGGTTGCCCATGAAGGAGGCTTATAGTTTTTTTTTCCATGTGTTATATTTTCTGGGCCCTAAATGTTCATTCTGTTCTGAATACCTCTCTAAAATTTGATTATGTTCTCATATAATAGTAAATATCCTTGAATCTTAAACTGGATAGAAACCAATAGTGCTGATATTAGTTGAAAAGAGATTTTTCTATCACAACCTTTTATTAAAGCAGGTAAAGTCTCAGCGAGATTAAAAATCACTTTCACATCTGTGAAAATAATCCTTTGTTTGGTGTAAGACATTTCAGTTTTAACACTCTGCTGTCTTTAAGTCACACTTATAATCTGAGTCAGTTGTGATCTTATCAGAGTCTGAGTCAGTAAATTTAAACGTGAATCCAAGTGACATAGCTTGAGTTCACGTCTTTGTTTGGGACTTGTTTTTTTTTTTTCACAGTATCAGTGTGTTAAGGGTGTAGCAGGATGTAACATTGCTTCATAATTTAAATGTAAGTGTTTTTTTTTTTAAATCAGTAGATTATAGCTTATGTCCCCACTAAATTAAAAATAAAAGATGATCTTTACTGCTTTGCCTCTTTTAGTTAGCATTAAGGTTATAACTGTTGAGCTGAGAAAAATCTACATGTATAAAAAAAAAAAAAAAAAAAACAGCATAAAGGAGGGCATGTCAGTTGATCTTGCTAATGGGCAGGAATCTGACATCATGGCAGGTTTTTAGCATGGCAGTGAGTCCCTGACAGATTTGACTCAGACTGGAAACGCTGAGCAGAAAAGGTTAACTCTACAGTAGACTAGACAGGCCCATCCTTTAATGATTCCTTTCTTCGAAATCCAGAGGTGGAATTTCACCAGCAGCTTGTACAATGATTCATTTTTTTTATACTTCATTCATCTTACAACATGTAAAGCTAGAATAAAGTTTGTGTATCAATGTGTTTGCATGCTTCATTAGTAAATTCTACAATAATCTTTTTGGGATGAAAACATGATAGATGTGCAGAGTAAAGTTAATCAGCCACCTGCAGGAACAACAAATCAAAACTTGCTTCACAATATGAATTAATAGAAAACATAATAGGACCCACTGCTGCGTCCTGCTTGATGCTTTTTTGCTGTGATTTGGATTTGAGGATGTTAAGCTAATGGCAGGAATTTAATAGTTCAGAAAAGCTGCTGATTTTGCTACTTTTTTTTCACTTTCTTTAGAGATCCTTTGTTTTTGATTATGTTTGGGAGTTACTAGATACCCCGATGGACAAAGGTTTTTGCTTTTGTCTCCTTTTTGAATATATGCAATTTATAAATGAAAACAATAGCAGCTCTTAATCATGTGGCTTTATGGTGACTCTTATATGTGTGTAAAGCTGTCACTCATTGAAACACAGCATAATTTATTAGAAAGATTAAAAACACAACAGCCACTATTGTTAATCTATTATCAACAGCCTGTTGTTATACACAATCAAGTCAAAGTTAAGCACAAAGTTAAGCTTCAGTCCCTTTCCTTTGCAGGTGCGTTGCTAAACTGCAGGATGCCAGCTGTTGAAGTACATGAATTAAATAGACTTGAACTGAACTCAGCTCTTTGTTTACGTGGAACTGGAAACAATAGTTACTCAATTAAGCAATGACCTGAGCGTTGGTCGACCACTCGAAAAGGTCAGGCCTTACGGGTGGAGGGGAGAGCTGTCTTTGTGTGTGTGTGCGATGGCAGGAGGGGGCGGGGTGGGATTGGTCCGACCGTTTTCGGGGGTCAATGTTTTACCCATTTACTCACAATACACAATCATTTGTCACATGTCAAATTCTCTGTCTTCGGTTAATTAAATCCCTCCCCCTGTCTGTATATCGAAATGTGTGATATCAAATCTGATGATAAATGTATGTTTGTTTATAAACTCATCTAAGGTACAACAATTTACTGCTCTGTTTTCCAGTAAAGTAAGGCAAGGTTACTCACCAAGTTTTCCACATAAGCTGGAATGCAGGGGTGATACTAGGATCAGAGGTTTAGGGGTCAGGACATGAATGATAAATATTATCAGTGATTTCTAAATACATTTTCTACATTTTCGAAACTTGCTGAGTGTCTTTTGGCACTTACTGACTCCATCATTCTTTAATACAGCAGATCTGAACATTTTGATCAAATATCCGACAACCAAATCAGAGACCGGCATTATTTGGAGAAGGATGTACCGACCATTTAAAGCAGTTTTCATGAAATGCTCTTTTTAGTGTGCCCAACTGAGTGGAATCTAGAACAGTTCTGTTTAGGATCTGTAGTCTTATCCCCTAAATAAAAAAATGATTTTGAGATCCTATGGCTTGTTAGCTGGTCTGCTGCTCTCTCTGTAGATCTCTCTTGTATAGTGAAATAGCTGACAGAGCAGCCCACTTAGATCAGTAATTATTAATTGTAAAAAAGAATGTATAAACTCTTTGCATTTAAGTTGGAAAAAAAATTTTTTTGTCTGTCAATATGCTCTACCCAGAACTCCTCAAGTGGAAACATTTTAGATTCATGTTTTAATTTTGTACAAAAAAACTGTTTGAAGGAACCTTTGACTATCTGATTATTATTAGATTAATCGAAACAATAATTGATTGTTTTGAAAAATACTCATTAGTTGCAGCCCTAATTTACATGAAATGTCTTAATATATTCTGTTGCTCCAATACTTAAACTTACACTAAATCTTACATGACGCCAGAGGGCAGCAGAGCGTCAATTTAAAAATCAAATCTAAGCGCGACAGTTTGAGATTCCTTTCTTGTAAAGAGTAAAGTGTTCTTCATATCTAAACAGCTTATGCCGTTCCAAGTATTTACTCGCTTTACTTCATGCATGGTTGAAATGTCTTTATCTAATAAAAACTATAAAAAGGAGAAAATATACAGTGTCTTACATTGCACTGTTTTTAGATCTTATGCTGACAGCTGAACAAAGAAGTGTAGAAGCCCCAAACTAATGATCTATATGAATACAACTTAAAACCTGCAGACTTAAGAGTAAAAAGAGACAAATGTCTTTTTAAACCTCAAACCCGTTGCAGAGATCATGAAGTTTACTTCACTAATAAAACATGCAGGTTTTAGGAACCTTTTTTTTTTCCTTTTTTGCATGATCTCCAACAACTCAAATGCTGTGTTGCTTTAACTTTTCAGAGCCCTGCCTGGGAGGGAGGGGTGTTTTTGGGGGCTGATCTTGCGCATTAAACATCTCTGTTATTTGAGGCGCTCCAGGGATTTAGTGCGCATGCGCAGTGCGCTCCTTCCAGCAGCGCTGGAAACCACTGCTACAGCATAGGAGTCATACCAAGCATAGCCTGCGTGTCAGTGCAGTAGACCTACAGCTGGCTGTGAGGACGACTGACGCTACTTTTTCGCTTGTTTTTGTCGTTCTTTGTCTTTGCTATAGCTTGACACACATTTAGAGGGGAGAAAGAAAACACATTGAAACCAGTTAAAACAACAGCGAGGCCACTTTTTTTTTGTTTTGTTTTGCTAACGGGTTTTAATAGAGACATAAAGTTTGAGGCTGGGCCTTTTAGCTTTTTGACCGTAGTTTGGAAAGAGAATTCAGGGAGAAGAGAAGAAGCTGGTCTTTATTTTTTTATTTTTTTGTTTTAATGAAAGCTCGATAAATGCATCTAACGAAGATGGACCTGTTGAACTACCAGTACCTGGACAAAATGAACAACAACATCGGTATCCTCTGCTATGAAGGTAAATATGGCGTTTTTAACTACTGTTTGTGGAAGTTCTAAAATTGGTCCTTTACTTACAAACTGTTATTTTTGACCAAAATAATACATTTCTGAAATTTTAAAAATCACGTGAAAACAGTTTTTTTCATTATTATTATTCTATGTCCCCTATTCTAGGGTCGGTATCTAGTTTTCACATTTAAAGAAATATATATTTTAAACCAAAAGTTAACCTCTATCCGCTGTTTGCTATTTCTGTGCTGAATGATGCTAGGTGGTAATGCTGGTGAGATGAAGCCTCGTGAGGCATTAAATAGTTTGGCCAAATTGCTTCAATGATCCCCACAGTTCATGAGGCGCCATGAGAACATGTCACCACCTACTGGTGGAATGCAGAACTACAGTTTGAAATAAAATCTGATTTTTTTTTGCAATTGTTTTTCTTTTTTCCCCCTTTTAAGTTCCTTTTGAATTTGTTAATAGTTGGTGTCTATAATAAAATCTTTTGTAAGTTTTTCTTAAGTGTAAAATTTCTTAGAACAATCCATTAAGGTGCACAGTTTTTCTGAAATTTTAGTGAAATAAGCTCAAGCAGACAGTGAAAGTGTTTGTGCAAATAGTTTTTTCCACATTTTTTGGTTTTAATCAGGTTGGAAGTTGTGTTCAACCAATCTTTTTGCTAAACCAATCTAATTTGGCAGCGTTGTTAGCAAATCTGTATTTTTACTAGGGCAAACCAATGCAAATTAGTCTCATTAATCGAAATAATTAAATATAATCGCAACTTTCAAAAGTTCCTGGACTGGGGCCGCCTTTTACAGCTGCTTTTTGTATCTCTGCTTCTGTCTCCTTGAACCCCAGTCGGCTTTGGCAGATGACCACTCACATCAAGCATGGTTCTCCTGGAGGTTTCTTCCTGTTAAAAAGGACGTTTTTCCTCTCCACTGTCGCTACAAGCATGCTTAGTGAAGGATTGCATTCAAGTCAATGAGTCGATGCAACCAACTGGTTTTCATTAGATAGAAAACTTTGAATCAATTTGACTGTATGATCTGGTGAACTGTTAAGTGCCTGGAGATGACATGTGTTGCGAATTGGTGCTATATGAATAAACTCAGTTGAATTGAATTCCAAAGTCAAAGGAAGGTCTTAAACCATCAACCTCAGGAGAGGGAGTCTGTGTCTTAAAGATGACGCTGCTTAAGTGATTAACTGTTCAATGGAGAAAATACTACTTAACACTAATGTTACAACTGTGTCTGGTGGCTTGCTCAGATTTTGATCTTTACATTGTTTATTCTAACCAAAATAGTTTAAAATAACTAGATTGGTTGTTTTTCCCAACGATCTCTTCCTAGAATGTATCCAAACTCTATTCAGATGACAGCAACTCTCCAACAAACTCCCACATCTTGACTGAATACTGAGGCTGTTTAAATGCCTGTCAAAATTCTTGCTTTCTGAACCACTTGCCAAAGCGGTCATGTGGTAGTATGGTTGCGGGCCTCAGACGTCATACATTTTGGCCCCTCCCATAAATGAATCACGCCTCGAACGCGCTTCAGGGAAACGCCCCCTCCATTACTCGACACATGCCTCGAAGCCTCGGCTCATCTCATAACATCACTATTAGGTGGAATAACAATTTTTGATATGTTTGATAATCTTACTGTAGTTTCATCTTTGGGCTTTGTGGTTTTATTTGTGCATCTTAGCTAAATATGTGTTGAAGATTTTATTGTTTTTCAGCTTTTGTAATCTTTCTGGAAATATTTAATTTCTTTATGGAATAGAGCTCAGTGGTTGTTGCATTATGTTGGTAAAAAAAATAAATAAAAAGAACATAGCTGTTTGTTTGGTAAATGACATTACTGCCTGATAAAGCTCTTCATTTCCAGATGCTGGTTTACCATTTTTCAGGGCCCCGGGCTCCAAAAACTCAAAATCACTTTTATTCAGGAATTCAGATTTACTCCCCTGTACAGATAATGTCAAGTGATGTCACTTGAAATATAAAAGGCAATAACCATCGTTAACACTGCCCACAATGGCCTGCTCATCATATCAGATACATTTACTTGGTTAGACCTAAATCACAGAGTAATGCAATAAAAATATGTAAACATACATCAGACATCTCAGTTTTATAACCATTAACCTGAAAGTAAGTAATAAATATTGGATGTGACTGATACGTGTTCAATTAAGTTTTGCTTAGGGGAAAAAAGGTAAATTATGCATGCCAGTGCCTTTTTGTTATAATAAGTTGTTGAGCAATGGAATTTGACAGTATCGCAACTATTGCTGGGCTAATAAAATAAACTATGTCTGATAAAATTTTCAATCATTCCACTGATCCATATCCACGTGGTATCACTGATAGAGGCAGAGAAAAAAATTTGCATCACAGCCAAACTAAGTATGGTTTGGAGTAGAACTGACTTATTTTAAAAAGAAAAGTTTATATTTAAATAGGGTTAGGTTTACTGTTTAAATTTAGGCTTCTACCACCCGAGTCCCTATTGCAAATAGGTCAACAGAACACAACGTTATAATTACCTATACACTGATCTAAAGGCTTGATAGCTTAATACATTTTTCAGCCATATGGTACAGCTGTATTTGCGACCACATCATACAAAGACGAGGGAAGATTAATAACAGCACATAACTATTAGGGGTCTTTAATGGAGCAGGCAGGGACTGCTGCTGCTGCTGCTGTGGAGAATCTGTATGGATGTGTAGTGGGAGCCAGGGCACACACTGCAGACACTTTGAAAACTATCAGATATTGAGGCCTGTCTAACTAAGAGCCATGTATGAAAGTGGCTCTAACTGATTTCTTTTTTGGTGTAAATAATGAAATTGGGCCGTTAGGACTGCTGTTCAAAGACTGGAGATAAGTAACTCGTGGGTTAAAACTTATGGGCCACATGTGTATGAACGTAGCCTAGGAATCATACGTCAACACCTTTTCCTAGAGGATAGAAATCACTGCTCTTACAGTATAAAATGGTCCATAGCAGAGAGTCCATTCTCTGCATTAAAACCTGGTCCAAAATGATAAACTTAAAATATTCTGACATTATGAAAGAGTAAGATGTCAACCACCCAGGAAAATGTGTTGAGGTTTTTAATGGGACTCAAAGGACTCTGTATTGGCAAGAGAAAGGCAGATATAGTGGCTTTTCTGGGCAAAACTTCACTCATTATGTGCTTGGATACAATGTTCTCTTTTGCGTATTTGCTGCACACTTAGCAGTTCATTAGCTTAGCATCATCGTCATAAATAAGCCAGTCTCCTCCTTCCCGTTGGCATGTTGTCTTTTAGAAGGCTTCATTTTTCCAGCTATATACCGCTAGAGATTGCAGAGCGGTGGAGTCGCAGTTAGATGACGGCATGTTGGGGATGTGCTCTCTGTATTTTAATTTTTCAATATGTTGGTCTATTGGCGTGTGAGGAACAGAATCAGAGGAACAAAGGTACAGAGCAGATACTTACCAAAATAAACAATAAAATGACTTAACTGTAGTGCAACTGTGGTTTTCTGGCTTTAACTCACCAAATGAAAAATGAAGTCTCATTTGTTAGTTTCGGACCCTGGCTACAGTACAATAGAGGACTGAGCTCAGGAGTAGTGGCTTTCAGGGGTTGTTCTTTCATGACCTCTCCTTTAGTCCCTGACCAAACATTAAACCATTCCCATATCTCTGACTATTGAATACTAGCAATAGTCCGCTAGGTGGTCTGTGAAAACTAGCTCAACATCCTCATGTGTACCCTTTGTAGGACATATATTATTACTCTGCCATCGTACCATTTTTTTTTTATACTGGAAACAAATACAGAAAAGCAGATGCTGTAATAGTCTTAACAAATGACTGATGGGGGGGAGGGGCAGTGGAGTTTATTTATTTGTTTTATTTATCAACAATCAACAACAATAATAATCACAGGAGCCAGTAAAACCCAGTGTCAGACATATTGTTCAGAAAACAAGGCTCTAAACTGCTATAATTAAATTTCACATGGTGAGTTATATCAAGTCTACAGCAAACTTTTTGTTATCCATTTCAAGTGGTGCCCTGAGCATTTGCCCACATTGCCCTGATGGCAAATCCCAGCTAAATCACTTCAGTCATAAGACAACTTCTCTGCGGCTAATTATGAAAAAGATTTCTCAAGCTGTTCCCCCTGGCCTCTATTGCACCATGGAAGATAAAATCTCAAGACAACAAAATGACCAGAAGTGTTACTTTAGATTTTAAATATCATCTACTTATCATCTCCTTTTCTCTTTATGAAAATACTAGGACCATGTCCAAGGAATCTAAACTAAAAAATCTAAACATAAGGCACTTTATTAAAATTGTAAATTTTTATGAGATGGATAAGGAATTCAGCAATATATGCTATTAGTTCAAAACTAAAAGATTAGAATATTTGCAACAGAAAGTATACTTGTATGGAGCTTGTATTTTGGACATTTGCAGCTCATCAAGTGAACAAAGATGGCAGTTCAGAGGTTTTTGTGTATCAAGTAAGGTCCCTTTTTATATGGTTTGGAAGATTTTTTTTCTGAAAACATAATTTTGGCTGACTATAATAAAATCAATGTGTCCCCTGAGAAAAAGTTACATCTGGGAAAGAGCTCATGGTAAATACAATGAAAGAAAAGCCCCTGAGTTCAAACATGTTGAGCCAAAGAGAGTTGGAAGAGCTGTGTGATGGTGTGGGTGTCCTGGCTTGTTATTGTATGCATGAGCACACCTACTCAAACACACTTCCTGGCAAACACGCATACATGCTCATACTAGTGCTTTGTCTATAGAGCCTCAGGTCTTTTCTGAAGCCCTCACGTTGCTGTCATTATCAACACTTATTTGAAATCTCAAGCATTACTGTGTTTATTTAAAACATGGAGTAATGTAATTTGAGAAGTGGGCGCCTTGATGTTTTAATCTAATGAAATTTTTGCAAAACTTTGTTGGAAAAGCTCTTTCATGCCGGAAAGCAGA